CTCATCATGTGATAAAATGTCTACATGACTAGTCACAAATCCAGGAGAGGTCTACTTTTAGTTAATCCTACAGAATTTTGATGTTGTTTACGTGGTTTGTTGTGTGACTTTGTGATCCTTTGTGTTAGTGTTAGGCAAGTTCTTGGTAGTTGTGCAGTTTTTAAGTCAGCCCCCACTTGTTGGTGTAGTTCCAATCCTTTTTGTATTGATATGGCAAGCTACCTGTGCAGAGGAGTCTAAATAGTTATCCAACTAGTTAGTGAAAAGAGTTATGGAATTGGGAGACCTCACCCTTGTTGTGATCCTCAATTTTATGGAGGCATATAGTAACCCCTTCCTATCTTCAATTGGGTTATGCAGATAGGAAGGGGTTATTAAATGAGTTGGGGGTATATTCAGCAAAAGAAACTAATGACTAACTGCAGTGATAATTTATTTTTCAGGGTCATATGATAAGCAGCAAATAAAATAATGACCTCTGTAATAAAGGGTATTGGATGAGTATCAATGCTGGTTGGAATTATGTTTTTGTTTTTATTTCTAGAAACAATGTGTCTACGCTTTTTGATGGCTTGTATCTCTTGCTATATGGGTCAGGAAGTTTATTTGTTCTTACACTTGCAGTCAGTTTTCTGTGTGGATGAAATAGAACATCATGTGTACAAGCATCCCTTGAAATTAGCAACTAGATAATAAGTATGAACTTCATGAGGCCATGACATGCAGTTGCAGAAAAATGGTTGCTCCTGGTTTTCATTGGGATGAATTTAGCTGTTTTTATTTTTATTCCCTTCCATTTCATGTATTGTAATTCTCCCATACTTTTGAAGGGCGTCTTTTGCTCTTGATCTTTGATCGAGGTTTCAAATTTGATCGTTTGCACTTTGCAGCCATTATTTGATATTATGCTGCACCTAATGAAACATCTGGATAGTGCAGAAAGAAAAGTTGCAGAAGCAAAGGCCAAGTCTAGAAAGCCGACTGAAGGACAATAGAGGTGACCGAAGAGAACGCAACGGTGTTCTTAATGGCAGTGAAAGACTTGATAGGTCAGAGAACCCACTGTCGGATAAATTTTCTAAGGATAATGATGGAGGCAATCCTGATGAGCAAATGTTTGATTCATTTGGTGGACATGGGATACCTGTTGCTGCTTTCCATTCAGATATAACCCCTCCCCCTGTGCTGATGCCTGTACCTGGGGCTGGGTAATTTAAAATTTCTGTTGTACTCTTATGTTAATTCAACTCTACAGTCTACTCTGAAATTTTCATGTTATAACTATTTTTTCTATTTAATTGCCTTTGCAGTCCCTTGGGGCCTTTTGTTCCTGCACCTCCGGAAATTGCAATGCAGATGTTTCGAGAGCAAGGCGGTGGCCCTGCTCCATTTGAAGGTGGTAGAAATGGAAGGCAAGGGCTTCACATGGGTGAATCGGCCCCAATCATTGCTTTACCCCATAGACTTCGGCAGGATCCTAGGCGTTTACGAAGGTAACATTTGCTTCCATCTACTGTGTTTATTTTTCTGGTGAGCTGTTGACTAATTTAAAAAAAGACATTCACCAAACTTAGCATAAAATCCCATCTCTGTTCGGGTCCAGGGGTCAAGATGAATATAGCCTTGCTCCTTAAAAATAGAGAGGCTATTACCATTAAACCCTCAATGCATTTACTATCCAAAACTTTATAGAAAGTAAGAAGCAAAGCAAGTTTAATGACTCTTTCAGCTCCACTGGCAATGAACATATTTTGTTGATTGCCTTCATTGCTAATATTAGTTTCAAGTGCTATTCCTTGGCTATATGCGCTTCTATAGTTATATTACTCCGGGTATATATTATTTCGGCAAAATTTACAAGAATACTCCCAGGATTTACAGGTTTTACATAGATACTCCCAAATTCATTTATTTACATGGTGACTCCCACATTTGCCTATTATTTACGTCGTTACTCCGCGATTGCCTAATCATCATCAGTGTTACTCCTATGTGTGTTTTTAAACATGGTTCTTCATCTTTTTGACCGAATTCAAATTAAGCTAATATGAACAAACTTGATATCAAGCATGAAGAAGATTTAGGAAGTTTGAATTCTGAAGATTATTAAAAAGTGATGGGAGATAAGGGCAATGATTAGGCTTTTTGAGACGTGAGAAAGACGATGGGAGAGAATAAGCTTAAGGTGAATTTGGTATTTTAGAGTGAAAAAAAATACACGCCAGCATTTTAACTTGTCACTTAGTGCTAAACGACACATCCAAGTAACACTAATGGTCACTACCAACTTGGGGAGTAATGACGTAAATAAGAGAAAAATGTGGGAGTAATGTTGCAAATAAATGAATTTGGGAGTATTTATGTAAAATCTGTAATTTCTGAGAGTATTCTTGTGAATTTTGCCTATTATTTTAAACCTGATTGAAACTAAGTTAAAATTTCAAGAACTAAATTAGATGCATCACAGGCATGCAGGATTTTCATGGCTTGATTTTCTTTACATTTTGCCTGGTGCCTAGGCTTTTAGCACCACTTACTGTACCTTCAAAATTCATGTTTTTGGTTTTCCAAATTCAGCTTGATGCAATTGGATGGAGAGTGCTCATCATGGGGCATATACTCTCATTAGAAATTGCACCATGACCCTATCCAAAGAGTCTCTTAGTCACATCTGGTCGGATTATTCTATTTTTCCATATCAAGTTTTACCTGTAAAGATGTAGTTCTCTACTGCTCCTCCACCCATGACACGCTTTCTCATTTTAGTCTGTCTCAAAATGTTTGTCTCCCGCCATATTTGGTAGCATTTAAGTGGCTTAAATTGATCCATACTTAACAACTTCAATACCAAGTATGCAATTCCATGTTTGTTAAATTACACGCCTCCCCCCCCCCCAAACCTCTCCAGACTTTGATAATGGTTTGTTCACCTTATACGCTTTACATTTAGACCAGATCCTATGTTTATATCAGTTAAGAACATTTGCACTAACCATAGTAGACCAGACCAGATAGATAAAAAGCCGGACGTGATCACATTTTTTTTCCAGACATAAATAACTTGTCCTTCATTGGATTAAGAAAGTACTTAATCCTAGCATTGACTTTACCAACTCTCTCTCTCTCTCTCTCTCTCTCTCTCTATGGTGTTTGTGTTGTTGGATGCATTCTTAACCCGTAATTTAATTTACAGCTATCAAGATCTTGATGCACCCGAGGATGAGGTAACAGTGATAGATTATCGGAGCTTGTAGAATCATGTGGCTTATAGTATGTTTTTTCTTGTAATAACACTCTACCCTTGAATGGTTTTATTGAGGCAATATAGCCAATTTTTAAATATTTTATTGATAACCTCGTTTGGTGCAGGCTACTTGTTTATTTTCAGTGTAGGTTATATAATCATAATTGGGATTAAGTACATGATTATTTGATTATATCCTTTTCAACCCCACTTTTGATATTTCACCAGACATAACCGAGGACATTTTTGTTAATGTTTACAAGATAATCTTGTAGGAGTTCTCTTACCGAGGTATTGTATGTCGTATGATGTGTTTGTATTACCGAGTCTAGCATTTCTAATTATCTTTGACATACTTCGCATGCGCTAAATTGTGTTCTTATTTATATTGAATCTCCGATTCCTAAATTTCTTAAAATGTGAAAAAATTAAAACTGAAAGTTGGAGTAGTTCAATGTGGGACACAATTTAGGGTGTGAGATCGACAAATTACAAAATAAGAAGTGATAAGAATATTTTAATTTATCAAATAATTAATGAAAACACACAAAAATGTGCAACCACCATTCCTTTATACATGTCCTGTTACAAAAATGCAAAATTGCACACATTGCAATTTGAATGCGAAGTGTAAAAGAAAAACAAAGGTGTATGGCGTTTGGCGACTTCACTCAGAAATGGCGTGTGCAAAATGTGTGCATCAATGCATGTTTTGTAAATGTGTGTATTACATGTTTGTGGCTTAGAAACTCTGAACTCCACTTTAGCATGATTTTCTGTTTGAGCATATTCATTTTTGAGCATCTTTTAAAACGTCTATGTAAGTCATTGTTCCATCTTTCTTATCAATTACTTGTATATACTTACACACCACATACACACATGATTGTATTTATGTGTGCATGTTTGTAAGTTCCAAAAATTTTAAAAGAGCATAGTTATCTAAATTCAAATTGAGTGATAAAGAGAGTGAGTCTCTTAAAAAATATGAAAAAGTCAGGCTATCTTTTGAATATGGACAAATTTAGAGGTCACTTCTTTTTTAAGATAATAATAACACTTGAAAGCCATCTTCTCTTGGAACTTAAAAAATTGTTGTTTCTTTTTAAAATCTAAAAAACAATGTTGAATTTACATCTAGATCTTTTTAAAGATGACAAGTTTTTGTAAAGTTATAAACATGAATTCTAGGCATGTATTAAGATTTTAGAACATATCATGGATCTGCATCATTCTCTCTCTCTCTCTCTGAATATGAGGGAGACAATGCGTCTATTTCTAGTTCTGGACAAAGAAGACATTCATTTTGAATTCTTTTAAATAGAGAAATTAATGTAGAAAAAGGTGTTTTTTTAATTGGTAAAGATTCGTTTTCCATAAATTCAAAATAATTCGTTTGATGATTTAGTAAACGCTCTCTGCAGGAGATCGATCTATACATGAAAAGCTCGCATTACATACATTATTCCATCTCTCAAATAATTAGTTATATACATGTAAAGTTCTTAAAGAAGAACAAATTCATCTAAATTAAAATTGCTCGATAGAAATAATGACCATCACGAAAATATAAACAAACAAGTTACCATTTCGATATGTAGGGAGGTGGATGACACTCCATTCATTTTTTAATAAATTCTTGAAATATATGAAGTAACTCATGTCTAGATTGTAAGACACGGATCTAAACCCAACACCCAATCCATGAATTCTCAGATATTTTTCAATCAAAATAGCAATTGGCTAGCTTTTGTTTTTATGGTAAAAAGAGTGCCCATATGATCTGCCCTTCTCCACTGCAAAATGGCACACTCACACACACTAATAGTTACAAAACATATGTACAAAAACCTAACAGGATACAGGGAAGTATACACACTTTCCATGCACTATCATATGCTGTGTTTCTTTTTTCCTAACAAAAAAATACACCAAGAAACACATCACCATGGAGCAGTTGCCACATCTTTGAACATCATCTCCACTCTACCAATATCACCATAAAGCTCAATCTCTTCGTCCAAACCAGATATCCTTCTTCTGAGATCCTTCAGCTCTGCTTTCGCAGCAGCGCGCTGTTCCCTTCTCTTGGTTGCGGCAGCCCCAGAGGAAGCAGACAGCAGGTTGATGAGCTTTCTCAGCCGGTCACGCAAAAACTCAACTCTCATGCCCAGACACTCGAAGCCCCTCAGAGTCGTGTCCCAAGCCTCCATTGTTGTTTCTGATGTTAGCTTGGAAGAAGATGTGCTAATGGCATCTGCAATGTTCACGGTCTCTGAGATGATGCCCGCGATGAGCTTGTAGTTCAGCCCTTGTATGAGGTTCTGGTGGAGGTAGGACTTGTGCGCGGCGCAGAGCCGATAGTACTTGGCCCTAAGGTCTCTGGGGATCTCGGAGTCTATGATCAAGCCATTGGCGAATACGTGGAAGCTCTCAAAGTCTTTCACTTGGGAGAAGTCCAGAGCAGAGTCGGCTAATCTGAGGCCACCAATGTCGTCTTCGTCACAGCTGTTGGCAGACAAGTGGGACGCCGGAGGGCCATGCTCTGACATTGACACCACTCTGTCTTCAATCCCCTCTCCCCCTCCTCCTCTTTGTTCCAAACATGCCTGGGTTTCTGCGATCATACAAAAAATGAAGGAAAACTCGTGTAAATCAGATAATCTTTGGTGTTCCTAACCCACACACATAAAATGCACACAACATGCACAAAACCTGCACTGAATATGCACACAACATGCACAAAACATGACTCCATTAGTGTGTTTTTTTTTTGTATTTTTATAACCAGAAATGTGTATAGCAATGATTGTTGCACGTAATACAATGGGGGCGTACCGATAGAGAGTGGTTGATGACTTAAATTCAAAAGACTGATGGCGGCGAAATCAATATCAGTTGAGGCATTTTCCCTCACAATGTACACCTGAAATAGGCAGGAGGAGGACCTCAGATTGCCATTGAAGAAAGAAAGGCAGACAAGAAATGGTTGAAAAGACAATGGAGGGGGTGGGGGGTTGCCTTGAACTTGCAAGGCTCCAAGAGCTGAAAAACTAAGACGTCCCCGGAAACCAAGTTGTGGGCTATGGAGAACCCCCTCCATCCTGCACTCAGACCGTTCTTTTTGACCAGGTACTTCGTCTCCCATTCTTTGTCATCTCCATCCACCAAAACAACACCACCATCATGCTTTGGCAAATGGGAGGTACAAAAGGGTCTTGGAAGCCCCTATAACCATCCATATTGATACACAATGCACCAAAAATCACAACTTCATATATGACGACAATATGTGGGTACTAAAGACATGAGATGATCCGGTCGAATCATACTAAAAAGATTGAATCTAATTGATGCTAAAGAGTTCTTACCAGCCAAAACCCGCCGGTAACGTGAGAGTGCAGCATGAACTTCACCAGACTAGGAAATTCAGGTGGAAGGTTTGCTTGGAGTTCTCGTGCTCTCCTCATTGCCGGCGAATTATTGTCAACGCCCGCATACTCCCTCTTAACAACTCCACTTTTAGCCACCTTCTCAAATGAGCACACCATCAGCAAAATTGCCTCATTTCATCAGATATATACATTACACCCACACCACATAGCATGTCCATTTATGGTCCCATCAACACATATATCTATATAGCATTTTCTTGATTCGTAGTGATAACAAGGAGTAAAATATGAATATACTTATTGTCTAAAATTAACAAAAATTGTGTCTTTAATCACTCTAAAACTATACATGAATAAAGTTACAATCATTTTAAACACAAATATGAAAAATATGGAATTGAGCAAAGATAGCAGGACAGAGGGAGTATATGTTATCAATAACCAAATGTTTAGATTCTAAAGCATGAGTTTATAGGATTTCATGTAGGAATTTCTATTTGCTTTAATCTTATCAGAAGATACTGCAGTAAAAAATTATTTCCAAAATGAATAAAAAAACATTGTTAAAGCAGTCTGGGAAATACTTAAATGAACATTAAATATAACTAAACAGTAATGTGTAGTTCACCTTAGCCACCACTTTGGTTTTCTTGGGAGGAGAAGACCTCTTCTGCAGCTTCTTAATATTGGCATTCCTCTTAAGCTGTCATCCCGAAAAATCAAGCAAATAGATTTCATCAGACCCCAAGAATTCAGGTCATGAAATGTTTTATTTGGTTTATAAAAATAAAATATAAAAAGAAAAGAAAATGGACCCTTCCTCAAGAGGAGAAAAGTTCAGGAATGGGATATATAAACTAACCTTGGAAGAAGAAGAAGAAGAAGAGGAGGAAGGCTTGGGGGAGAATTTCCGAGAGGAATACAAGGAAGAGATGGCCATGAGCGCCAAGAAAAAGCTCAAACAGGTTCGAAAATGGGGGAGGAAGACTGTTGGGCTTCAAATGCAGAGTTTTGGGAAGAGGCGAACATGTCACTTCACAGAATTTGAATTTTTGGCGGAGTAGGGACTAGGGAATCATTACTTTCTTTCATTTTAGGACCATGCTACACTTACACCAACAAATACATCTCATTTATACATTACAGTTTTGCACAAACATTTTGATGGTTTACACCAACAGAAGTGTTGGTGCGTTAATAAAAATTTACACGGACACAAATATTGGTGCATTAACAAAAATTAGTTTTACACCAACACAAATTGTTGGTGCAAAACTACGGGGTAAAAATTGGGATATAAATCTTGGGGTACACATAGCATAATTGTACATTTTATCTTACACTACCAGCCCTACTACCCCTAGTTCTAAAAAAACATGAGCCCCATCCCCAATGCCAGTCAGACCCGGTCAGATGGTAAATGAGAAAAGATAGTTTACACTTTGATCGTAGATTAATGTCAAAAAATGGAATCTAGTACTAGAGTTGGCAGAAGAAATGTGAAGAGGATGATATTCGAATTTAAATCTTGTTAATTATGCTAGAAGACAATTGTGTTTAATGTATGATCTCCGCAAGTGTTAAGTGCATAGTAAATTTGTAGCCTTCTAGTTAGTTTTTTAAGTTTAATTAATCTCTTATACAAATGATTTTGGAAATACTCTCAAAGATGATGCTCATCCTTTTTTCTAAGGTTGGGAGTTTCGCGAGTGGGCATCACATAAATAATGTAGATCTATGATTTTTATTTCTTTGAGTGCGTACAACGTACTTCAACTGTTACTCTCTCTATTCCAAATTAGTTTGAGCGGGGTTCCGTTAACACTCTAATATAAAAATTTAATCTTATATGTCACATACACACATACATATTTGCGTGTATGGATGTTAGTGAATTTCAAAAAAATTAAAACAACATAGTCATCTAATTTCTGATTGATTGGTAGAAAGAGTGGTCTTTTTGAAAATCTGATGAAAAGTTAGGCTACCTTTTAAATATGAAAAAAATTCAAACGTTATTTCTTTCTTTTTTAGATAATAATTACACTCAAAGATTCTCTTCGTCTAGATCTTAAAAAATCAGCATTTTTTTCTAAAACTAAGGCTCCGTTCCGTTCAACTTATTTTTTCTGATCTGATCTGATTCTAATAAGTTCTGATCTGATCTGGTCTGATCTGATCTGATTGGATCTGATCTGATCTGATCTGATTAGATCTGATCTGATCTGATTGAATCTGATCTGATCTGATTGGATCTGATCTGATCTGATCCGATTAGTTATGATTTAATTTAAAATTTTAAATTAATAATTTAATTGGACTTTATAATAACGTTTGAAAATTGTAATCATAATTCATATTATAATATAATCAACATTTTTTTATTTAATGATTATTTTTTAATAAAATGAAAATAGTCAATTCATATATTAGAATAATCATTCATATTATAATGTAATAATATTTTTATTTTATGATTTTTTTTGTAAAATTAGAATTATGCAACAGAATAAATATTTAATTTAGATATACATTAAAAAATAATTACATTTATAATAATAATAATAATAATAATAATAATAATTGTAATAGTAATAATAATAATAATAGTAATAATAGTAATAATAATAATAATAATAATAATAATAGTAATAATAATAGTAATAATAGTAATAATAGTAATAATAGTAATAATAATAATAATAATAATAATAATAATAATAATAATAATAATAATAATAATAATTCTTGATGGAATCTGATTTTAATAAGTCCTGATCGGATCTGATCTGATCTGATTGGATCTGATCTGATCTGATTAAATCTGATCTGATCTGATTGGATCTGATCTGATCTGATTGGATCTGATCTGATTGGATCTGATCTGATCTGATTGGATCTGATCTGATCTGATTGGATCTGATCTGATCTGATCTGATCTGATTGGATCTGATCTGATCTGATCTGATTCGATCTGATCTGATCTGATCTGGTCTGATCTGATCTGATCTGATTTGATTTTAATAAGAATAAGAAAAAATAAGAAAAAATAAGTTGAACGGAACGTGGCCTAAATAATAATAAGAAATTTACATATAGTTCTTGTTAAAGATAAATTGAATTCTTGGCCTATATAAAGATTTTAAAACATAAACAGTAGATCTACATCATTCTATCTCTCTGTCTCTCACACACTCTCTCTATCTCTCTCACACGTACATACACACACACTCTCCCTCTCTCTATCCCTTCGAATATCAGAGACACAATACGCCTCTTTGTAGTTCTAGACATAGAGAACATTCCATTTAAATTCTGTAAAATGAGCAATAAATGTAAAAAAGGTTGTCTCCTTAATTGGTTGAGACTCATTTTCCATAAATTGAAAGCAACTCTATGATGGTTTAGTAAATACTCTGTGTCTAACAAGATCTATATAAGAAAAAGGTACATTATTTATTTTATTTCATTTCTCAAATAACTAGTTATACAAATCTACATATTTGAGAGAAGAACAAATTCGTCTAAATTAAAATTGCTTAATAGAAACAATAACATCATGAAAATATAGATAAAGAGATTACCATTTCGATATGTGTGGAGGTGGATGACACTCCTTTCATTTTTGGAAAGTAGTTACACTTCAAAGAAGCCTTCGCCAATTAGATCTAGAAAAATCGTAGAAATCCCCTCCAGATCTAAATAATAACGCTCGGTTACGTTTGCTTCTCAATTGAAAGGCTCATATATAAATTTTCGGCTAGTTTTTGGAACTGGAGAACGGTGAGATTCAACAAGTGAAAGGAAGCAGTGGGCCAAGTCACTATACGTCGCTCCGATAAGAACTTCCTTGCCAGCCAAAAAGATGAAGGATAAACTAATAACACTTGGTCGTGCCAACCTGCCAGAAATAGAACGACCATGATGGATAGGCTATGGGGTGTGGGGATTGGAGGAGGGTAATGAGAAAATATGAGAGAAATCAGATTATAATAATAATAATAAAAGCTTGGAATCCGACCCCCTTCATGATGATGAACATCTCCATTTACACCAGTTAATTACATATTGGGTCAATCCAAAACTACCTGGGTCGTAGCGCAAAATATTCTAGCTATATATATTCTGATTATTAATTTAATTATTTCAATGCACAAATTTGAGGAGAAAAATAATAAATAAATCATGTTATCGAGTAATAATAATAATAATAACAATAATAACAACAAAAACAATAATAATAATAATAATGTATTACAATGTGTAACTTTCGTCATGTGATTGATAGATTAATAGTAAGTAATATGATAGGTAGGGTAATAATTAGTAAGGGTAAAATAAAGACTTTAATTAATTAAAAGAGTGGACGTAATTTTGGGGATGGTTGAAACTTGAATCGTGAAAAAGGAAAGATTTTTTGGGATGAATGGAGTATAATATTAAACTTAACCCTATTTGTAGATAATTAGAAATGTTTGTATATATAGAACTTTTGAAATTTTTTTACGGCTTAACAACTAAATTATTTTAGGTTTATAGTTGATAAAAGGTTTGAATTAGGATGTCCCATACTATTGGATTATTCTGATTTTGAAAAAATGAAACAAAGTAGCAATGAGACTAGTATTGGGAGAACCAAAAATCCAAACTGCTCCGACCTATATCCACTCCTAATTAATGTCTTGTTATAAAAATTCAAAAATTCTGTGCATGTTGAGTGCATGTTGTGTGCATATTGAGTTCATTATATGTTTGTGGCTTAGGAACTCTAAATTTCACTTCAATACAAATTTCAGCTCGGGCATATCTTTTTTGGGCATATTATAAAAGGTCTCGTATATAAGTAATATATTATTCCATCTTTTTTATCAATTATTTTTAGTTATAAACCTACTTATATGTCACCAACGCACATGTTTATATGTATGTGTGCATGTTTGTGATTTTCAAAAACATTAAAAGAACATAGTCACCTAAATTCAAATTCATTATATTGATAAAGAGAGTGACCTTTATGAAAATATGGAAAACTAAGTTACTTTTTTTAATACGGACAAATTTGGAGGTCACTCCATTCTTTTTAAGATTTTAAATAAACTTGAAGATCCATAGAAGAAAAATTCACATTATTTATGTTATTCTATCTCTTAAATAATTAGTTATATAGATATAAATTTTTAAAGAAGAACAAATTCATCTAAATTATAATTGCTCAATACAAATAATACTCCGTAACAAACATGATAATATAAATAAATAAGTTACCGTTTTGAAATGTAGGGAGGTGGGTTGCCCTTCTTTCCTTTTTGGAAAGTAATTTGTTATGCCCCGAAAATAGATCTAATTAATTAACTGATAATTAATTAATTATTGAGATGGACCCAAAAATAAGTGATTCATAAAATTTGTCAACCACAACGGTATCATTGCGTAAAGTTTGACTGTCTAACCACAACGGTACAATCAAATTTCTAGCCGCTCCACTTAGCCGATTGTTCAAATCACAACATCATCACATTGGCTTCTTCTTTAACCTTCTCACTATATAAGGAGCTCCAATTTCATTCATTTCTTCACCAATCTCTCTCATTCTTCTTTCATTCTTTTCTTTGTTGTGTGGAGAGCGCAATAGTGGTACCCGGAGAGCTTGAGTTCGTTGGAGATAGCCATAGTACTCACCAGAAGTTTCGCCAGAAAAATTTCAATTACTTCTATTTTGCTTTTGATGTGATGGATAGAGGTAAGATGTGATGAGTAAATTATTTGTGAAAAAGTATGGTGTAATCGGTGGGATAAGAAAAAATAGGAATAAAAGTGTTTTTTTTAGACACGAGAAGTATTTAAAAAAAAATTAAAGAGTAAGAGTTTTAAGAGGTGATGATATAAATTTGGTATTTACTAGTAAATGTTGAGAGGGTCTAACCTTGGTCCGTTTTAAGTTCTAGTCTTCTTGAAGAAGAAATAACTCTTCCTCTTTTCATTTGCGCTGTTGACTGTTGAGTACTCTTCGTCATCTCTCTGTAATTTTTTTTTAAATTTTGCTCACTTGTTGATCCCATTAGCACCATTTTGTGTTCCTGAATAGCAATCAAATACGACAAGATTTTTCATCCCGCATAGATGCTCGATTCAAGCAACTTGAGACTTTGTTTATGTGTACTTGTGCACTGGACAAACTTACTAATTTGCTAGAAATTGTTCTATATGGAGAAGTTGAGCACGATGAGGGAGTTTGTGCACTTTATGATTACATAGACGAAATTATAAAGAATCTACGGACATTTCGTCATATTGAAAATCGGTCAAATTATGATTTTGGTTTACACACATTTGACAATGAAATCTCTTGCGCGATACAGGATTTGGTCCGTGGGCTCCCAATTTTGCCGAGTTTGATTCTATTGGAGTTACAAAACTTTAGAACAAACATGTTGGGCGCTATTAAGATGCTCCGCCTTCTGCGTCAAATCTGGTCTCTACAGTACTTGAGCAACACACTAAAGCACAAGATCAAGCATCCAAGGATGAATCAAGCGTTGACTCACATGATGGAGATCAAGTGGACATCATGCCTGAAGCCATAAACAAAGATAACGGGAGGTCCAACATTGTGGACAAAAATAAAGGTCTTCTTGCAAAAGATGTTGCTAATGTCGACAAGTCAAATTCTTCTTTCCAGGAATTTTTTACCTTAACTGGTATGGTCATTGCAGAGTATGAAATTTCAAAAAGTGTTGTCAAAGTGACAGGTGCAGATGGTAAACAAGTGTGCTCACCTATTTTGGTTGACACCATTAATTAAGTTATTTGACCTTGTCGATGTGGTCAAGACGAAGCACCTGGTTTCGCCAAGAGAACCTACATATGCTATGCGCCCTGTGTCATCTTTACATCCCTTTGCTGCAAGAGCCAAGATGGTCGAAGACTCAACGAGTGGACTGCTCCTTTGGTTCAATATTCTTTCTCCGGTCTTAAAGCACGAGTGGGATCCTCCACCTTGAGGACAAGGTGGATTTTAAGGGGGTGGGAATGATACGAATAGTTAATTAGAATATTTTAATTAGTTATATTATTATTTAGTAGTTAATTATTATTATTTATAAGTATTTTATAGATTAGGGTTTTCGTATGGACCAGAGCCCATTAGGTCATGTAGGTGTGGTGTCTCATCGCTATATATTGTAATCCCGTATCATTATTATTCAATCAATCAATAATCAAGAATTCTCTTAATCTCTCATCTCTCTTTTCTTGGAGTTCGGAAACGCTTGAAGTTTTCCTTCTCTCTTGCCTCCCCTTTCTTGGAGCCCGAAGACGCAAGACGCTCAAAGTTCTTCCCTATCCGATACGATATTCGTATCATGGTCTTTTAACTGCTAATAGTTTGCGTGCTTTGCTTCGTGTTAGGGATTGAATTCAGAATGAACGCAGAGCAATTGAAGAAGACAGAAGGGGGCTTCACGAGGGCAGATCTCTTCAAAGATGACGACGAGTTTCAGGAGTTTGACGTTTTTGAAAGTAATATTAATTTCTTCGGTATTTGATTTTGATGCTCTCGTTTAATCCTATGTTTATGATAATTGGTGATGGTGTAAATTATAGACCAGTATATCATTTTTAGCCCGGTAAAAACGATTAACTAGTCTAAAAAGTACACCAAAATATAAACAAAAGAATTTTTACGTGGAAACACAAATTGGGAGAAAAGCACAGACCTTTTTTGGCGGTACCTTGCCAACGGGGGATTTTTATTGATATTGGGGGTTGTACACGGTACATTATTTAGGCTTAGAAGCCATTAATGATGGAGTTAGAAGCTCTTGAAGAAGAAGAAAAATATACTCTAAAGCTTTATAGAGAGAGAGAGAGAGAGAGAGAGAGAGAGCAAAGTGGGCAGGATGGATGGATTTGGCCTCTCCTTCACATTGGGGGCACCCCTTCTTTTATAGGAGGGAGGAGGAGCATCTTCGGAGGTATATTCTCTTATTCCTTCATTTTATAAAACAAACCCGGTTTGACTATTCTTCGTTAATAATTAGGAAATGTGGGCCGAGCCACGTATTACGGAGTATTTCCCATCAAGAAGTCCTCCACTTTTTTAAGTTGTGAGAATCATCAACTTAAAAAAGTAAATAAGTCCTCCGAGTGCTATCTTCAGTCTTCGTAGTTTAGATTCTTGACCGGTTGATATTATTGCTAGTTCTCCGAGTCTTCATTAATTTTCTAATTTTATTTTGAATCAGAAGTTTTTCTTGCAAAAAATATGTACAACATATTTTTTTTGACCGATCTATGCCGTGCTAAAAAAATTATTATCTTTACCGAGGAGCTCGGTGTTATGTGATTAAAATTCGCGTGAATAATTATCGTAACAAGCAAGAGCGATGTCAGTTCGGTAAAGCAACGATGCTTCGAAAAGTTATCTCGTCGAGACCAGTGTTAATACGAGTCAAGCAAACGATGCGTGACGAAATTAGTATACTGATGACAACGACCTTAGTTAATAAGAATTGAATCCGGTGCGGTAGCTTTATTGAAGATCAGTGTTAGCTCGGCTGACTGATGTAAATATTTTCATGTCTTTCGGAGACCATCTTCGATTAGAGCCTCGAATAGAGGGCTTAAATGAATTGGGCGTCCCCAATATGAGCTTTGCTCACTTTTTTGCTGAAACCGATATATATACAATCGGTGTACCCAATTTGATTAAGCTCAGGCTTATTAGAAAATATGTGCAAGACCAGTGTGAGACCAGTGTGAGACCAGTGTTCTAGTTTGACTGTGTCACATATTTTCTTTATTATACTGAGCAAGACCGGTGTAGTAACCAGCGTGCCAGGCCGGTGTGTCTCAATCTTCCTATAAGATAATGTTGCTGGCCGGGCCAGATCAACATTGGAGAATTAACCATGTCAGATGGTTTCGAGCCCTCTCCAAGGCCCAAAATGCACCCTTCTTACAGGGCACTATCTTCTGGGTGATTAAGTCTTTTAGTGGCCCTTTGATATCTACCATCCCGGGAAGCCTTAGCTCACCCCCGTTCAAGTCTTCCCTGAGAAGGGGGAATCCGAATTGGTCGGAATAGGATGTGCCACGGTGGACGATCCCTTTCTATTTCTTTTAATGGGCATCTTTTAGTCCCCAATCAGTTTGACAGTTTCGGCTGATTCCCCGATACTGGTCAAACCTCATGGGCCCGTGTAAGTACAGTTCGAACCTTCTTCCAGGTCCAGCCCTCTTGCAGGCATACCCCTCTTCCGCGTTTATATTTTTTTATTTTATACTGACAAAAACCGGTGTAGTAACCAGCGTGCTAGATACGGGCCTGTGTCTCAGTCTTCCCTCCAAAGTTACCGAAGATGCATGCATCCTATACATAATCAGACATAATCAATTTGTCTGAGAATATACAATCGTGCTACAGGTACACCACTTTGTACCCCAGTGGTGTACCCCATATACTCCCACCCCTTGCATTCACTAATCCCACCCAACCATCCTCTTATTTTGTCTCTCTCCTCTGGCCTCTCCTCACGCACCCCGTCTTTCCCTTGTTTTTTTCTTCCATTTCACGCTGAAGTAATCCATCATGCCGGCAAAGGCGTGCGAGTGGTGCGACGGCGTGTTACCTCATCGGAAAAAGGAATTGAAGAACGACCTTCATCGGAAAAAGAAATTGAAGAACGGCCTTCATCGGAAGAAGGAATGAACCAAGGTGCGGTAAGTGAAGAACGATGGGCGCTGGCGGATGCATTCCCAACTAATATTTCAGATTCAATGTTTAACCACAGGATGTATGAATCTGCATAGGCATCTCCTCTTATCGCAGATTCGCAGGTTAGTAATTGTTTCCTATTGCACTAGCATGAAATGTTTGTGTTATGTTAGACTTTAGTTATAAATAGGTAGAAAGTGTTGGTTCATTGAAAAGACTCTGTTTTCTTGGGCGTTTATTATCTGCTTTCAGGTTTAATTGTTTTGCACCGGCAATTATGTCAGTGCAATAAGGTAGTATGTAGGTTTCACCTACAGATACTGTCAGGTTGAACATTTTTTCTCTTCTTTTAGTTTATTTATTTTGCACCAGTAATCATGTCTGTGCTATGAGGTAGGATGTAGGTTTCACGTATACATATTGTCAGGTTCAACATTTATTCTCTGGTTTTTGTTATGTTTTGCACCAGCACTTTATGTGTGTGTGCAAAGAAGTAGGATGTAGGTTTCACCTATAGATAATGTCAGTTTGATTAAAGCTGTATTTTTTATGTGCAGGCATGTTAGAGGGCAATGACAACTAAGATGTCGGAAGTACTTTCATGAGTATTTTTGAAAACGACAGTAGTAAGTAATTACATGCATATATTGCGTGTGACCATCATTAACGAAATGACTCCTAAAGCATATTTGTAATTGTTGTTGTTAGTCTTGTATGAAGAATAACAAATGCACATGATCCAACTACTTTCATTACCCTGTTAGAAGACGAGGGAGACTTGCATATGCAGCGGGCTGTGGAGACTAGTGCAAACACCATAAATTGTAAGTTGTACATATGGAATGAAACACTGAATGGACATTTTGTGTTCGTGCAATTCTATCAAGGTTTGCTTGCACAGACAATTTATGTAGGTGCAAAACAGAAGAGTTAACATGTAGTGCTCGGTGTGTGGGTTTAGAAAGAAATGGGACGAACATATTCCCAGGAACATGGACTTGGACAACACCTTGACCACACCAATATTGGATCCTATTTGTTCCAAACGAAAGGAGGCCCCTAGGAAGAACATGCTAAAATCTGTTGTGGAGACAAAAAACAAGAAACGAAAGCAAGACAAGAAGATTCGAGGTGATCACTGCAGGACCAAAAGTAGTGAACAACCTAAGGTGAACAAGACCAAGCGGGGAAACCCTGAAAAGCCATCGACGACCCTTCGTCCAAATGTTGGTAACATAAGAAGTGAAAATTTGCCTATGTGGGAATAGCCGGGAGAAGATGGTGTGTATGACCTAACTTGCCCAAGTCTTGATCTCGGGCTATGAAGTATACGGTCCATCATTTCTTGTTAATTTTTTGTTATGTATTTGCTCCCACTTTTTTTGGTAAGTATTACTCTGTATTTTTTTGTCTTCACCACTTACACATGATGTAAATATACTTATTTTGTGGGCAAGTTGAACACTAAATATGTAAATATTATTTCCTAATGTGACACTTTAACAGGTTGATGTAATTATTTTTTTTGTAAAATACACGAAGACTTAAAGTCAGGGGCATTACTGATTGTGTTCAATATCTAGCCTAATTATTCTCTTCAATACACCAGCACTTCATGTATGTGTGTTGCTGTTTATGTTCTACACACCAACACTTAATGTCTGTGTGCTAATTTTTCTGTTAAATACACCCATACGTAAACATAGGAAGTGTTACTGGTTGTGTTGAAAAACCAACACTTAATATGTGTTGCTTTATGAATCAGTTAAATACACCAACACTTCTTACAGGTGTGTTACTGTTTCTCTTCAATACCCCAACACTTAATGTCTGTGACCTCTCGTTTTTGTTAAAAACACCATGACTTAATGTCAAGATGTTAGTGGTTGTGTACAATTAACAAACACTGAATATGTGTATTATTCTGATTTTGTGGAATACACCAACACTTCATATATGTGTGTTAAGGGTTCTGTTCAACACACCATTACTTACTGTCCGTGTGTTATTGTTTATCTTCAATACACCAATACTTAATGTGAGTGTGGTACTGCTTATGTTCAAACATTTGAGACAATAATAATATTACACTTAAGCAGTCATAGTTGTGCTAGAATCAAAAAATATATGTTTGTCTTTCATATATTAGCATGGAGGTATAAGCAGTCATAGTTGTGCATTAATCAAAAAATATACATTGCACAAACTTTAGGCAACTGTCTTCCAAAATATACGTGCTGCATATTGCCTACGGAAGTCGTCTACATGTTCGTGCGTGTAGTCAGGACACAGGGGCAAACCAGCCAAGAGGTACTCCGCAAAGGCAAGGATCCTAACACCACATGCAATTCCATCGGACTGCTGGGGCACATCCTTGGCGAGCTCTAGTCTCCATGGTTGAGTACTTCTCTGTTCCTCGGTGGTTTTGACGGTTCGAAAAAAGGGGAGGCAGTCGACGCACATAGGATTTGCTCTGTGCACCCTTCAACGAATCATATACCGAAACAGTCGCATTGGGGAAATCAAGTTCTGCTTAAACCCAATGCCGGTTTCTAGCGTGGATAGTCATGAAGACCTACATAAAGATATTCATTCACGGAATACGTAAGTAAAGAGCAGTTTTTAGCCTGGCACTTCATGACTGTGTTATTCTGTTTCGTAAGAATTGCACTGACAGTTCTTGACATGAAGAAATTACCTTTTCCATTTGGGTCCAGTCCAACTTCCGTAGCATCTTATCCTGTAGCAAGGAATGGTCTGAAGTACTTCTGGGTGAGATGATACTATAAAATAATATTAGTATAGGGCTTATCGTGTAAACTAAATATGTAATTTTTTTGGAAATAATTACCGTGAACATTGGACCATATAAACATCAGCCTTGCACTCCAATGAGCTCAACCCCAGACATTAATAAATCTACAACAGTTTGAACATGCTAATAGGAAAGGAAAAAATAGATAAAAAGATACTCAGTAATGCACTGCTATATTGCATAAGCTTGTGTTTTTAGAAAACTTACATCACTGCTTACCACAAATCATTGGCCAACAAAGTCCTGAAGAAATGACGGTCAACCTCGTGAACAAACGATATGAATGTATAAACAACATAAAATTGAGAGCGCAGAAATCAGAGGTCAATGAATATATTAACATGGCCACATACTCAATTGAGTAGAAATTGACCAGAGTTCAGGCATTTGGGCAGAAAATGTAGGTGTGAGCTCATAGTAAGTTTTATCTTAAATAGTAGAATTTTTAGGTTATTTTTTTATAGTCTGTGAATAATTACGCAATATAAATATATGTTACTCCATACAATTTAAAAAACAGGACCCCATGGTTCCTCTGTACACCGTGACACCGCTGTTGGCTTTGGTGAACGGATCGAATCGCCTTGTGGACCAGAGGCCATGCTCTCATGAGCTTGTCCTGGTGGTGTTGTAGCACGTACGCGCCGTATGGTAAACCGTCTTTGTTCGTCCTCAGCATTTTGCCCACCACTGTCGGAAGGGAGCACGGCAGAGAGTATGTCGGCGGCGGAGATCTGGGAGTTGGATCCGCTTTGCCATCGGGATCGGGGAGTTGGATCCGCCTTGCCAGATGGCGCCGGCGACGTTGAGGTGAACGACGGCGTTTAAGAACACCACGTAAATCGAGCCGGCGATGGCACGATTCCCCTGGGGATGAAGCGATTAAGGATGGCGGCTGAGATCGAGTTCTTCGGTGGTGACAGCGATTTTGGTGATACGGCTGGCCGAATTGGTGGAGGCCGGCAATCTAACCAGGTCGTGCAGTACCTGTGGGGCGGCAGCTCCTCTTTCTCATTTTGGTTTTTTTGAAGGAAAACCCCAATTCTTTCCTTTTTTTACCACAGATAAAGAATCAAGAAAATTAAATATTTGTGACTTTTTGCTCTAAGGCCCCACGGGCGGCGCCAAAATGATAATATAAATTATCGACCGGTATATCGTTTTTAGTCTGATGAAAATGATAAACTAGTCTAAAAAATACACCAAAATATAAACACAGGAAATTTTACGTGGAAACCCAAATCGGGAGAAAACCACGAGCCTTTTTTGGCGGTACCTTGCCAACGGGGGATTTTTATTGATATCGAGGGTTGTACACGGTACATTATTTAGGCTTAGAAGCCATTAATGGTGGAGCTAGAAGCTCTTGAAGAGGAAGAAAAATATATACTCTAAAGCCTTCTAGAGGGAGAGAGAGAGAGAGAGCAAAGTGGGCAGGATGGATGGATTTGGCCTCTCCTTCACATTGGGGGCACCCCTCCTTTTATAGGAGGGAGGAGGAATATCTTCGGATGTATATTCTCTTATTCCTTCATTTTATTAAACAGGCCTGGTTTGATTATTTTTTGTAAATAATTGGGAAAAAGAAAACCACCTTTTTTTTATTAAAAAAACCACCTAAATAGGAGTAAAACATATGTCATATCCTCATAATAGGAGTTCAAACATAAACTCTTCTAAACAGGTGTAATTAAATAAATAATGAGTGGTGATGATGCTATCCTAACTGCACCGTATTCAATCAATTATTTGACCGCACAAAAAAGTTATCTCCCCGTTTATCTCTCTAGCTTCTTCTCTGTACCACCGCATGCATCTGCTGTCGTAGCTACCATTGTCGTCGATCCTCTACCACAATCATTGCCGATTCCTTCCATTATCTTGCCCCCCTCGTTGCCATTCATTTTCCTTCCATTCGCAAATGACTTTTGGATTGAGTTTATTATTTGGGGCTTTATTATTGTTGAAGAAGTTGTGGCTATCAATTTTCTCTGCGTTTTCATTCTCTATATGTCAAAATCTCTTCTCTGTTGTTCACGCTAGTAGGAAAATGCATCTTTTTTTCGATCTTCAATGTGTTTGAGGCCTAAAAGGTATTTGACAAAATTCCCCTTCCAAAACCCTTTTTTGTCACTTTTTTATACCTTTTTTTGGACTTTGAATATTGATAGCTGAAGGCCTGAAGCTATATGTTGTCCATCATCTATTAGTTGTGCTGACCATTTTTATATTGGCAAATTAAAGATACATTTTTATCCCCTAAATTTTCATTATTAATCAAGAATGCATATATCATTTCATAAAACTTTTTACACTACAATTATCCGATTCATGGCCTATTTACCTTTCTGTGACACTGTCAATTTGCATCTAAAACATTAGATATGGGTATTTGTGACATTCTGTATTGTCATGTGTGACATTATGTGGCATAATGTGTGACATTGTATTTTATTGATAGTGTATTTTGGTGGTTAATGTGGCACTGTGATATCAACAGCGAATCAGCGATAGGAAATCACTCAAGGTTAGCACAAGCTCTATATTTCATTCTAATAGAGTAAATATTATATATTATGATTGACATTACCTACTGACATGTTTATTAGTATGCATTGTCATCTTTGGCATTGTAACTTCGTTTTGGCGTTGTATAAAAAATTCTTTTTCTTTAGCAGTGAAACTGTGGCATACAAATACTTTAATTGCATATTCGTTGGAATGAGGTTTGATTTTTGCAATCAATTTTGTATTCAACTTTTTCTTTTTGTTAATTAAGGTGCTTGATTTTTGTTTCTAAGTTAGGCAAAATTTGGTAAAGTCAATTGAAACTTGACACTGAGAATTGGCAACCTTAACATTTTCACTTTCTGTTTGACATTATACATTTACATGTTCAGCCTTATGCATTGACATGTTTGCCACTATACATTCTCATCTTTGACATTGTTGCTTTGATTGATATTGTATTTAAAACTTTTATCTTGACAATGGCACCATGGCATTGTGGGAGTGACAAAGGCACAACATCGATCTTGGTTCCAACTTGACAATGGCAAAAGCAGTGGTGACGACAGCAGTAGGAAATGGAGATCGTAGCGGCAACTTATGGCAACACTGGCAGCGCGGTAGCATCTTGAGTGGGGTGCCAACGTCGCAAGTGGTAGCATGGAACAAATAAATGGCTAAACTAGAAATAAGAGTGATTGGGTTAAGGACCAAACTAGGCCTACCAACAAATGGAGATGGCAACAACAAGTATGACATCACACAACTCGGGCGGTGGAATCATCGGCAGCCTATGGGGTGTTGGCAGCGGCCTGACACATTTGAGCAACCATGGATGGATATTTTGACAGTTGAACGACATGGCACAGTTGAGAAGCGACATGACATAATTGTACAGAGAAGAGTGTAAATCGTACTTCTGTCTTATGTTTTTTTTTTTTTGGAACTTGCACCTTTAAGAATAAAATGTACCATGTAATTTAAATATTGTTTGTTCAGAATAAATCTCAGGAGTTGAAATAAACAAAGAATTAGTGTGCATCCTCCCCTCTATGGCTGCTTTTTTTAATGGTAATGTTTATGGCTTTAAAGATGCCACTTTTGTCTAATTGATTGGGCATTGTACATTTTTAAGCTGGATTGTTAGTTGACAATTATAAAAAAATCTTCAATCACTATTATTATTCTCTTTGTGACAAATTAAACACAATAATAATGCCAATAATTGAGAAAGAATATAATCAGCGAGAAGGGCATTAGAAGATTAATTAGATTAATTGATTTAATTACTCTTACTTTAGGGAGTTTAAGTTTTAATTTTTACTTTAAGGATATAATATATGTTTTACTCCTAGTTTGGTCATTTTTCCATTGGGAAATGTGGACCGAGCCACGTATTATTTCCCATCAATTGGAATTCATTACTTTTACCTGTGTTTGATTTCGAATATATTGCTGCTTTTGGTTCTTTTCCCCCCACTAATCATCAAGCATTTAAGTTTGATTATATATACCGAAATGTACTTTCAAAAAAATATATATACCGAAATGTCATCATCTCAGAGAAATTTTAGAGCTTCTTTATTGAACCTGTGAGTAATTAGTGTATTTTGGTCTTGGATATAATCAATTTTGGATATAATAGATTTTGGATCTTATCGATTTGAGTCTTAACAATTTCAGATCTTTTCAGTTTTGGATTTAAATCGAGTATGTATATATTTAGTTCGATTCGGATCATTTTTGTTATTCAGTTATTAATCAGATCTTCACTTTTTAATAATTTACGTTTCGGTGTTGAATCATTCAATTCGGGCAATAGGTTATGATTGTGAAGATGAAAGCCCATGTTTGGACTGGTTTGATGCCTGTCCTAAATATGTTTCAACTCCTTAGCTACTAAGGTTATCGAGCCAAAAAATTTCTTTTTACTTTTGTTTCACCAAGGTTCTTTTGACATTACAACATGTCATAATATGACAATAGAGATTTACAATGTTTTGTTCCTAAAATTGATATTTACTAAAATTGATAGGTTGTAAAATTGTGGAGTATATTTGTGTACTACTTGCGTTCAGCAATAATGTTTCACAACTGGTCGAGTAGTGGATTAAGAAATGTAAAATTGTGTGTTTAAAAATGGTGAAGAGTAAAGAAAAATCATATGGGGGCATAAAAGCTTTTCTAAAAGTAGAAAGTGAAACATTATTTTAGGACAGATAAAAAATAAAAGGGAAAAAGATTAAAATAAGAGTAAAACATACTCCCTCCATTCTCAAAAACACTTTCTCTTTCTTTTTTTCCACTTCCAACAAAACACTTCCCCTTCTATTAAAAAACCACTTTCACCTTTACTTTTTCATACCCTACCTATCACATCGTACTTTTTCTCTAATAATCTATCCATCACATCATACTTTTACCCATAACATCAGGGGCAAAATTGGAAATTAACTATAATTTAATACTCCGTACTTCTTTATTTTTGCAGCAAATCAAAGTGGGAAGCTTTTTTGCAAACAGAGGGAGTAGTAAATATATCAAAATAGGAGTTAAAATGCATATAGAATGTCAATCATGTCAATATATAATAAAAAAAACTATTTTAAAATGTTCAAATACAGTGCCCCGTTATAACTGTGGAAGCTCTTATTTTGAGGATAAAAATGTGTAGCTTTTATCTGAATACTTTCTTTAAACTTTACTCTTATTTAGAATGATTTCTTAAATGAAAAAAGTCTCACTCGGTCCCTATATATTTTTTAAAAATGCTCTTCGTGTTCTTAAACTTCTTTAAGTGCTTGTCAGGTATCTATACTTTCCAACTGGTACCAAGATTGTCCCTCCAATGACTTTTCCGGCCAAAAATCGGGTATACGGTCTATTTTTCTTTTAAAAAATTTATATTCCCTTTTAGCACTTCACTTACTAGATCCCAATTTTTTTAAAAAAGCTTCCTAGCTCTTTATATTTTTTGACTTGGGCAGATGTAGTCATTCTCGTAGTTTTTCTATCCAAGTATCGGGAATAACATGTATTTGTAAATAACTTTTTTTTTAAATCCTTTTTCCCTTTTTCTGAAGAAATAGAAAATCTACTTTCTTCGATCTCCCACATCGCCTTATCAACAATCTCTTCATGTCGTTGAATTTCATGTTCATTGAGGGAATGTGAGAAAAAGGATTAAGAAAAATGTAAATTAAAAATTAATTGATATTTTAATTGATCCTTTTTCTCACATTCCCTCCATGGGAATTTAGGTGCAATTACCGACATATTTTTTATTTTCTCGATTTTGCTAATTTGACTTTTTTAAACGATTTTGCTAATTTGACTTTTTTAAATCAAATTGAACGAACTTTGAATTTCAATTACTCTTAATTTTTATTATATATTAGTAAAAGGAAATTAAATTTTAAAAGTTCT